CGCTGCCACAGCGGGATCCGCTGGGCTGAAGCCATATTCCACACGAGGGCCAATGACCGGCCGTGGATGGGCGGGGTTTAGAGCCGCCCTATGGGCAGCTTCAAGCTGCCTCCTCTGAGCCCCGTCGAGGTCATTGGTGATAACACCACGTTCCTCGGTTGACGATAAGTCAGGGAACGGACATGGGGTCCGCAAGGCACGAGCGGGCTCGAATCACGCCGCTGGCGCAGCTCGCCTTCCTCGTCATCTCATGCGGGAAAAGGAGTGTCAGACTCGTAGTCGACCACCTTCACATCCTCAACGAGGTCACTCGTCACTGTTTGCGTGCGCGGAGCGCAACGCTCGGGCTCATGGAGCCTAGGAATCACATCCCTCGATGTCGCGGAGACACGGTCCGACATGGCACCGTGTGCGGGAGATGAAGATGGTCTCTACCCATGAGCTGTGGGAACCAGCGAGACTTGGATAATTCGATGTCATTGACACAGGGCTCATTGAGCACGGAAGTCGTTTCGTTCCAACGCAGTGTCTAACGGACGCGCGAGCCTCGTTGAGGCAATGATTGATTGGAACTGTTAATGTTCTCAATCTTAATGGGGGAGAGTGTAACGGAGTTACACATACCCTGGTAACAAGGGGGGTCACACCAGATGGCATTTAAACAAGAATACGGTACGGGTCTGGATAGCCAGTAATTATACATGTACTTAGATTTTACTATACATATTCAGAAAAAACTATGCATTTAAAATTAGGCGGCTTTGCCGCAGATAAAAATAAATAAAATCAGTTTTTGGATTTAAACCAGAGGCTTAATTAGCCTAGGAATAAGGTTGTAATCACTCTTGGAGTAAGCGGATTGCGATCCGCTAAACTCGTACTTGACTTAAGTATAAAACGAAAGGTCGGTGACCTAAGTTGCGCTTCTCAAAGCGCAAAGCTACCGCAGCCCCACTGCAGTTTCTCTCACTTTGTACTGCTGACTTATACCATGCGCGCTACTGTCGCTTACATCATCAAGTGACATCAAACAACAAGATAGCTATAATCACGTTTGTTTGCACACCAAAAGATGTCACTCAGTGTTAGCAGCTGTCGCAGATGATCTACGAAGTGCACATTTGGGACAGTGAAGATGCTAGCTGATTTATCACAGTAACACATTGGACGATGAAACTCGATCGATCTCTGATCCTCTCGCTTGGTACAACTGTCTTATACCAGGCGAGCTACGATCTCTTACGTCATGTAGTGACATCAAACAACAAGATAGCTGTAATCACATTTTTTTGGACACCAATAGATGTTACTCAATGTTAGCTGTTATCGTTAGATGATCTACGAAGTGCACATTTGGGAAAGTGCTGATGCTAACTGATTTATCACCGTAAAACACTAAACGTATAACGGGATCGATCTTTGTTCCTCTCGCTTGGTACAAGTGT